AAAAAGTTATTAAAAACTATTCAGTATCGCCATGTGAGAGAGTCATGATGGGTGTGACCAGCATGGATTTTAATTTTGAAAACACAAACAACCTTTTGGTACAACTACAGATATGTCTGCACGGATGGCGTAGTGGTTTAAGCGGTCGCCTCGACGCTTCCTACTACCCCGAGTGTTGTGGGTTTAAACCCCACATGGGACGACTTGTTGTGTGATCGAGAAATTGTTGTTCTGAGTCTGGGTGTTCTTTGTGTCCATTTCATATATGTTTGTAAAGTCCCCCGCGAAACAGGATATATTCCTAATGCGGTAGTTGTCATTTATAAAAGAAAGATAGAAAAAAAGATGTATGTATTCCGTAACAGTTGTTGGCCCTTGTGTCTGTGTATTATATTTAATCTTTTTTTTATTGATTTGTATCTAAACTAAACCGAAGAAATATTATTATTAAAGCTGATTTGAGTAATTTTTATATCTTAAAAAAATAAAGGTTTTGTAAATAAAATGTGAAATTCCATTCCAATATATGAGACAACCAAATAAATGATTATTTTAACAAATTGTTTTTACATCATATTGTTCCCTTTAAACGTTGGGCAAATTTTATTTATTTTACAATTGAGCCTTCTTCCTAAACTAGGTTGGGGTCGGCATTAAGTCTAATACGATACGGCTGAACTTTGATTTTTTAGGTGGAGCGACTGTCATCAGATCTCCACAATCCAAGTACCAGGTGATATCGAAGTTCTGTAGAGAGACCGCTGTCGGACTTTTTAGGGCTCCAAATACCCGTAACGACGGCTTAACGTGCTCTCCGAGGCACGGAGGGGTCTCAATGTGTTAAGAATGGTCACCCATCCATAGATTGACCTGGCTATGGTTGCTTAACTTCGCAAATTGTTAACCTACTCGGTTACCACTTAGCCACGGGCCAGTCCGAATCGAATCGAGATGAATCTGTACTATGATATTAATATATAACACTTCAGACACTATCTATCCACAGTACGTACTTAAGAAAATTCCAGACACGCTGCTGACATTCAGAAACAGTGTAGGATTGAAGTCACTGCTCTCTAGTTCCTGTCACGCAAAGGACACGTGACAAGACTCTATTGACTCTATTAGAACATACTAACTTTTAAACTTTCGCGTTCCATGATAATTAATATTATTTAACGGGAATTAACGCGATCTCTTATTTAGGGTATTACATACCTCTGGTTTGCCTGACGTTTCGACCAGGTTGCACCGGCCGTGGTCACAGGCTGACTGCAGGCTGACTGGTCAGGCAAACCAGAGGTATGTAATACCCTAAATAAGAGATCGCGTTAATTCCCGTTAAATAATATTAATCTATTAGAACATTTCATGCGAATACTAATTTATTATAAAGTCCAGTATCAAACAACAGCTAGATATAACTGGATACAATAAACTCGTTAAAAGGGAAGGATAATTTTGTAATTTTCCAGAAGCGGTTTCTGAGCATGATATTTTTTGACACACCTGATGGCAAGTGACAACCGGAAGTGACACCCGAAGTCAAGAGTCACAACTCGGTAGACATGGAAATTATTGCTACTTTTAAATCAAAACCATATGATGAAATGATTGGTCATAGTCACTGCGATTTCATTGCGTTTTCACCTGAAGTCGTAGTGACTAAAACCAATCATTACAATAGACTTATGAACAAATCGCAATCACAGGTGTGATGGTGAATGTCTATGACCAAATCACAATCGCAGGTGTGATTGCTATTTGGTCATAGACAAAGATAGATGTCATCAAAATCAATCAAAATTCTTTTTATCAAACCTTTTTTAGATTTAGATTTCTCTCGATAATAATAAGTATCATAGGTCTGATTATATGATTTATACCTAAATCAGGTGATTGTGATTTTATTCCATCGCTAGTCACAAATGTCTCAACACATTTAAAATATCCCCGACTACAAAATCCCGTTAACAAGTAGAAAAGAGTTCATATAATCTTCGAAGTTCTAAATAGATTTTAAAATCAATCTCGTTCAAGTAACCCTGCAAAGCTAATATTCCACACAGATACACACATTTACATTTATTACAACCCCTCTTCTTGCCTCCATTTCCCCTCTTTTTCTAAAAAAACATGTACTTACATAATTATGTATACCTAATTTTCGAATGTCAGGAGAAAGGTAAAACAATAAGTTTTGTCTACCATGAAATGTTATCTAAATTTGTTTTTTTTTTAATAAATATTTAATGTTATTTTAATGGCAACATTTTAAACTTCTTCTTTCCTTATAAAAACGTTGATAACACGTATGAAAACTATTTTATACTTTTAATTAACGTTTATTTAACTAAACATTTATTTAACGTTCAATAATATTTTTGATTACACGAAAATAAAATAAGGTAAGTACTTAAAACAAAATAAAATAAAAAAATATTAAAACTACTTATTTTAAAAACAAATACAACCATTGCTTAATAAAGGAATGTTTATTTTATACATAAAGTTTATATAATTCACTTTGTACAATTTTGTTCATTAAAGCTTTCAAAGTTTAATATTATTTTTTAATAAAAGAATAGTTAACTTAAAATTATTTTTTATTTGAAATATAACCTGTGAATATTAATTCTTAAAAAACGATATTTAATTAAAAAATATGTTCGATTTTGTACACGAGGTGCTGTTTTGTTTGTCTAGGTATTATAGTTTAAATAATAATAAATGTTGATTATAAAAATATTGTAGCTGAACACATTAAAATACTGTGATTGTATTCGACGGACGAAAATGTCAATCAATGTCATTAGGCTGAAGGATTACCCTTTTTGGAAGGTTTAAAGGTCGTAGGTCCGGTAATACCGCGCAGGCGCAACTTATTTATTAATTAAACTTATAACAATATATACCTATCCTTATATTTACGGTAGTAATTATTCATGCAAGAAAACTGCCATATTTTTAATGTAGGTATATAAAAGATTTTGAATTAACAAAATAATTTATAAATTATTATTTATTTGTGAAGCGGCGGTAGCCTAGTGGTAAAAGCATTGAACTTTCGATCAAGAGGTAGTGGGTTCGAATCCTGACGTCGTGAACCCACTCCTAATACAAGCAATTTAGCTTAGCGGGAGGGGTTAACGGGAATACTAGCAATTTCGGTTGCTAGTAGACTTTATAAAAAAAACAAAAAAAATATATTTTTAAGGTTATCTGTAAGAAACTGCTCTTAGCCCTTGTACATACATATCCACTTTTATAGATTATTGTATTCTATTTCATTATATTGTCATCTATATAAGCGGGTATTTCTTTAAATATTTCCACTTGAATATACTCTTAATTAAATGATCTAAAATCTCCAACTCGGTGTTAAGCACCAGAAAAGAAGACACAAAATAATTATAACTATAAATAAAGAATTAAATACAAAATTGAACAAGTAAATAAGTATTGTTTTAATGTATCATGCCCTAATCTTATACGACAATAATAATTAGAACTTTAAAAGAATATAAATGGAAAATTCTTACTGTAACACGCCTTCAGCACCATAACATCATAATTTCTTATTAATATTGATATCTGGAACAAAGAGAAAGTAAGAAAATTAGTAAAATTGAGTCATATTAACATGACTTATTCAGTTTTTAAACTAAAAAAGGTTTTATGTAAAGATCCTTTTTTTTATGTTAGAGGGGGCAGACGAGCAGACGGGTCACCTGATGGAAAGTGACTATCACCGCCCATGAGCGTCTGCAACTCAGGAGTCACAAATGCGTTGCCGGCCTTTAAGGAAGGAGTACGCTCTTTTCTTGAAGGTTTGAAGGTCGTATCGGTCCGGATATACCGCAGACGATAACCCGTTCCACAGATTGGTTGGATCCTTTATGACTATCGTCATTATCAACAGTCTATACAGTCCAATGCTGGATATGGGCCTCTCCTTAGAAAGGAGGTTATGGCCTACTATACCACGCTGGCAAGACGGGTTGGTATAGGGTTTGTGTCAAGTTGTCCTTCTCTCTGCAGTGCTGTTGTTCTGCGTAGTTTTCTCCCTTAGTCGGCTCTTACGACACCCACGGGATGAATAGGGGTGGTGACACTTTGTATTCTTAATCCGTCACTACACGGACAAACTTGCCATGCATAAAATCTAAATTACAAAAAAAAGGATATGTTTGAATCGATTTTTATGAATGAGCTTACTAGTGTTTTAAGCACTTAAAAACCAACATTTTTTATTACTATACGTCTCCAAATTATATTTGTGGACAAAATTCTAGGTTATATTAGGTCTTAAAGAAATAGGGGCGAAGAATACAGCTTGTGTCGTGTTGGCATTGTCTTTTTATGTTGACACGTCTCTTGTAAGATGTCTGAACTGTTGCCAAGACTGCTACCGTAATCAGGATTCAAGAAGAATCAAGTTTCGTAGGGACCTAGGGGCCGTTTCTTGGCATGGCTTCAGTCAGATGGACTGACAAAGTAAGAAAGGTAGCTGGGGTGCATTAGATGCGGAAGGCGAAGGACCAAGGGCTATGACATAGTCGGGAAAGTCACATGTTTAATAGTGGACTGTGGAGCATTGTGGAGTTCCGGTCCCTATGCGATTTGGACTAGTTAGGTGGTACTAAATTGTCGGTACTTCGATAAAATGTCATTTTTACTTTTTACACATTTTATTTTTCTCTGTCGTCTGTGCAACAACCATTACGCTGTTAATTATATTATATCTATTTAACTCGTATTAAAAAGTTATTATTACATTAAAAAACAATTTATTGAGCTACTAGTAGGACAAAATCTCCTTTTTAAGGAGAGGCCTTTGTCCAGCAGTGGACTATTAAAGGCGGCTGATGATGATGATGATGATGACCTACTAAGCTCCAGATACATCCATAGGCTTCAATAGGCTGACGTTCTTAAAAATATATATATTTAAGTCAGAGTTATAAGATTAATTAAGAAATAAGTGGTACTCACCTCACCCAAGAGTTCCAGCAGCCAAAGATGCCAACACGACCAGGAAGGCCGTGGCCACTCCGCTGGCCCCCACGTGCGCTCCGTACACGGCGCCGTTGTTTTCGTCCCCTCCCGCCCCGAACGCGTCCGTTACCGATAAATCATCTGTCAACGGACCAATCAGCGATTTGGTGAGCGAACTTATTAAAACCGTTTCTAAATACACAATTTTTTGACATAATATTTACTAACAAAGTTAAATATCGAAAGAATTTTTTAGGAGGTATTAAAAATAAATAAAATTGATTTAATAACTATATGATTTACATTTGAATGTACTACTTCATCATCATCAACAGCCTTTACTAGTCCACTGCTGGAAATAGGCCTCTCCTTAGAAAGGAGGATTTGGCCTACTATACTACGCTGGCCAAAAGGGTTGGTAAAAGGTTTTGTGTCAACTTTTCCTTCTTTTTGCAGTGCTGGTGTCATATGTTGTTTTGTGTCCTTAGTCGGCTCTTACGACACCCACAAGATGAATTGGGGTAGTGACATTCCGTATTCTTAATCCGTTACTACACTACTTAAATACCAATAATACAATAGACTAACTAATAATAACTAATAGACTAAAGAATATGTAACTAAAGAAGAAAGTATATAAGAAAGACTACAAAACCTTTGTTATATCTAGAATTGTACTTGGCTCAATTTTAGTCTTTGCGCCCCATTATAAGAACAATATTGACCAAATAACAAAGGATAGATCGACCGTTTGACGACCGGATGGCGTAATGGTTTGTGTAACGGACTGTCATTTCAAAGGTCGCGGGTTCGATTCCCGCTTAAGTGAAACATTTGTTTGCATGAACATTTAATGTTTAATTTAGTCTGGTTGTTTCTAATATGTATTTATATCAGTTGTCTAGTACCCATAGTACAAGCTCTGCTTAGTTTGGGACTAGATGGCGTTGTGTGTATGTGGTAGAATATTATTATTATCGATTGCGCACTTTAGGTATGCATCGTTATGGAGGATTGGCTCGAGAGGCATCACGGAACCCTCACATTCCGGCTGACGCAGGTGATCACAGGGAACGGATGCTTCGGAGATCATCTGTGTCTAATCCGCAAGAAGCCAACGTCTGAGTGTTCATAGTGCTAAGCGTCAGACTTAAGAGTAATCATCATCATCATCAACAGCCTATAACAATCCACTGCTGGATATAGGCCTATCCTTAGAAAGGAGGGTTTGGCCTACTATACTACGCTGGCCAGACGGGTCGGTATAGGGTTTGTTTAAAGTTTTCCTTCTCTTTGCAGTCCTATTGTCCTGCGTAGTTTGGTCCCTTAGTCGGCTCTTACGACACCCACGGGATGAATAGGGGTGGTGAAATTCCGTATTATTAATCCGTCACCACTAGGACAAGAAGAGTTATGTCACCTATGTATTGTCGTAAGAAACCCACTTTATACACTATTAATTGGTTAAGTTGGAAGAGTTAATAGAAATACTGCTAATTATAAGACCCATGCAGCCATATTACAGTCGTTACATAATCTTTTATAGAACGATAAAAAAGTAGAATATATAATTAACGGAAAAGAGCTTGCAGGGTTCACAGAGTACGCTAGGAGGGGTCCGGATGTCTTAATAACAGCTGTTCCCGGATCCCTCCTCTTACAGGCGCAAAGTGGCACACCGTGTGGTTTTAGTCGGTCCGATTCCGACAAACCACTCCGCCACAAACCCCGGCGGGGTGACGGTCCGAGGGGGTTTCCACACGTAAAAGAAAGGGTTCTCAGAGTAGGAAAAGGCTATTGTAGGATATGGCTTTAATGTCATTATGAAAAGTCTCAGCAAGCAAGTTTAATAAAACTGTCGCAAAATCGCATAAGTGAACATGGACATTTTAATTTTGCACTTCCATTTTGGTTTAATTTTCACATTTTTAAGATTATTAATCTTAGAGTAAAATAAAAATTAAACTTTTATTTATTTAATTCTTTTTGCACAAACAACAATTTATTAACAATAGCGGACTTAATCCCACAGACATTTTCTCCCAGTCTACCTTTGGGTGGTGGGGAAAGGTCTTTTAAGCCAATAGAAGGCCCGTAGCGTACCTGTGACTCTCAGGCTGACGCTGGTGACCTGGGTTTGCCAGCTGAGCTTGGAGTCGATAAATAGACCTAGGTTCTTAACAGAGGGACTGAAGGGAATGACTGTGCCGTTATAAGTAATGGGTGGCAGTTTGTCTTGATCCATCTTTCCAGTCATGCGCGGACTGCCTATGATGATGGCTAGGTACTTCGCTGGATTCACTGCCAAGTCAAACCCAACAGCCCAACTGCTAATAGCCTCCAGGTCATTGTTAACCATAAAAATTGCCTCATTTATGTCGTCTGTCGAGGCTTGTGAATAGAGTTGCAAGACATCAGCATAAAGATGGTACGCACATTGAAGATTCGGGGTGATGAGATTGATTAATATTGAGAATAATAGAAAAGGAATTAATAATTTTAAGAATAAGTAAATTTATTTATGTAATCATAACTTCTAAATGCCTCAACATAAGATACTTAATAAATTGAATAATTATCATATGATGAACTGATTGGTTATAGTCACTGCGATTTCACCTGTGATAAATCACTACTGATTTGGTCATAGGCAAAGACCATCATCATCAACAGCCTTTAATAGTCTAATGCTGGACATAGGCCTCTCCTTAGAAAGATAGCCAAGGATAAATGCCATCAAAACAAAAGGCAAAAATATATTGCATCTTTTTTTGTTTTTTTTTCAGATTTTTTCAGGTTACCAAGGCAGGTTCATAAACATCAGTCATAATTTTGTAGATTAGTGAGGATGGAGGAGGAGGAGGAGGAGGATTAAGGATGATGTTTAAATCATATGATTTATCACCGTTGATTGTGATTATATTCCATTCCCATTCGACTTTATTAATTCGATTCTGGGCAATAAAGCATGTTTATTAATTTCTTAAAAATAGTAATTATGTTAACATTAATACTGTCGACTTTTACCTTTCTTTTTAGATAGCTTTACTGGTTACACACATACCATTTCTTTTTACTTACACGATTTTGCGACCAAAATAAACACAAAATTCATGCTTTCCCAAAACTATTACACAACAAGTACACAACAAATAGGTATTTGATGAATGAACGTACCATTATCACCAACTTCCATTCGATGAATGTGGAATGAATGAATGAACAAAAAAATACAATTAATTACATGGCACAAACGGTTAGTTTTAAATATTGACAACAGAAACTTAAAATACTTAACTTTATTATTAGGTTCTTAGCAACTTGAATAAGCCGACTAATCACATAAATTTCAAATTTTAGTGAACTTAAAAACGTTTTTTTGATAGTAACAATTACAAGGTTTTTAAAACTGCATTCTTTTAAACAAAATTACTTCAATGGTTAGCAAATGTTATCACTGCCATAGGAGTATGATACAGAATTAGTAAAATAATCAGTAATATGCATAACGCATTATTAATTTCGTTGTACTAACATTGTACATGGTCTTTCGAGCCAAATTAAAAATCATAGCACATCTTTTACCTCACGCAACTAATATGAACCTAAAACCTATCAGATAGAATGCATAATAGCTTACCTCCGTATCTGTTCAACATAGCCATAATGACGCCGTTGGTCCAACCGAATCCTGTTTGTACTACGTACTCGCCTCCTCCACCAAAACCACCAAAACGTGTCGCGTCATACTGGAAATAGAATATTAATTAAATACCAGTAACTTAATTGGCTTGAATTCACGTTTGAATAACTTTTCAGTACCTACCTTTTCAAGCATAGCTGTCTTCTGTTTCCAGACTTCAAAATTAGACCGGACCCATTTAGTGGCTATCTCGCTCGCGTATCTCATCGCTTCAGGGTGGCCGGTGTTGGCTAGCCCTGTCACTACGATGTACTGGAGCGGGGGCCAGGCGTTGGGATAGTCCCACTGTTCACCGGAGTGCTCGAACGTAGTGGGGATACCACCGTCGAAGATATCAACCTTTGGGAAAGAAATGATAAGTGAGAAAAGCGCTCGGATAGTCAGATCTGGAATCACTGACGCAATATCCAGATGGGATCTCCAAATCAGGATAGGAAATCTTGTCTGGCCACGGCAGTGCTAAAGTGGTGGTGATATATGTTTATGCCAGAACTTCTTGTGAAGGATTAGTAATTACCAAGTAGTTTTCACTTATCTTCGCTAGGTGGCGGTAAAATATGTTTCTGCTGTTTGATGGTGTCGCTCGAACTTTTTTTTTGTGAACGATAGCTATTATAATTTTACTTAAGAAGAAAAAAACCGGCCTAGTGCGAGTCGGACTCTATCTATACAAACAGCAAAAAATCATATCAGTTGTTGTTTTTAGTAATTGTTGTTATACCGGCAACAGAAATACATCAACTGCGAAAATTTGAACTGTCTAACTATCATAGTTCATGAGATACAGCCTGGTGACAGACAGACAGACGGACAGACGAACGGACAGCGGAGTCTTATTAATAGGGTCCCATTTTACCCTTTGGATACGGAACCCTAAAAAGGAAAACTTTCAGAATTGCTCCGGTAAAACAAGGGACGGAATATCATTGCATTATGAAGTTTAGTGGGGCTAAAGAATTGTGTGGAGATTCTAACCTTAACTTTGTCCAAATAATTGATAACTCTGTTGATATAGCTATCTTTTGTGGCCATATTATAGCACCCGGTCCACAACGGGGACAGGTTCGAAGGATAGAAATAGTCTCGTGGTCTTCCAGACTCCAGGCTGTAGTCCAACCAGGCTCCGACGTCCTCGTGCCATAGTACCTGCAAACAAATTTAACTTTAATAGGGACATGTAATTTTACATGAACTGTGTGACTTATAAGAGTATTAAGTGATCGCCATAATAATAACTCTTGCTCTTAGTAGATACCATGGGAGTAGTAATCTATCTATAATGTATAAGTATGTTTAATCAGCAGTGTCTAAAGTATTAAAACAAAGTTTAACCGTCACTCGATAGATGGCGTTGCCTCAGTTGTTTGACTCCCGCAATAGTTTGGTTACCATGGCAGGTATATATACTGATAGGTGTAAATATTTTTGGAGTCCGCAAGCGAAGGCTCTCAATCGGAAAGCTCGTGTAGTTCAGACTACATAGTTGTCTCTTCGCGAAAACGTAGTCGCAAAATCAAGGAGGGCTCAAACAAAGCCCCCAAAACTGACGAGGACAGACAAACCGATGTCGGCTGTCCCCCCCTCTTCCCTCACCCCTCCCGCCACTGCAAGGCCGAAGGCACCATCCCCCGCCCCAACAGAGAATGGAACTTCAGCTCGCAAGGAGCCTACCCCTACCCCAATTTACGTCCAGGACTAGTCCAAATGGACCAACATTTCTACGTGGTGCAACGAACGTCGCATCACGTACCACTCCGCCCGCAGTACCCAACAGGGCATAAAAGTGTTAGTGGCCACCTCTAATGACCACAGAGCCCTATCAAGGCTCCTCCGTGAAAGGGAAGTATCCTTTTACACTTACACACTCCCAAAGGATAGACACGCAGACCGAAACACGCTTTAGTAGAGCCAGACGACGCGATCACCCTCGCTCAGCAGCGAGTGTACATAGCTCGCGCAGCTACCACGAATCGTCCGCGATTCCGTCCTCACCGCCGGGGCCGGAATGCGCGCCGCGTTAACTCCTAAATGTGGGTCTTGGTCGCCCTAGTTTGCCAGTAACGCCCCAAGCCGAGGTTCGTACCCCACAGGGGGTGCCCTTGGGCGATGTTACTTAATTAAGACCGGTTGACAGCCCTCTGCGCTCACCGAAAAGCCCGGGCAAGGTTGTTGAGGCCACCCGAGGCCAACAACCATACATACATACAAAAAAAAATCATTTTTAGTTGACATTTAGTGTTGTAAATTTAATTCGAAGAGTAAATATTTCAAGTTTAACTGCATTCGGTTGTTTTATTAACAAAACGCTTGTATTTCGACTAAATAGCAGTTTCTTTAGCATAGCACTGGTTGAGTCTAGTTTGGGATCAGACGATCGTGAGTAAGTTGTCTTATTATTGTTACCAAATCTTTACTTGGCCAATAAACGTTATCGGCTGCGGTATTTTTGGACCGATCCGACCTTAAAGAAAAGAGCGTACTCCTTCCTGAAATGCTGGCAACGTGTTTGTTCTCCTCTTGAACTCCTGAGTTGCAGGTGTTCATGGGCAGCGGTAGTCGCTTTCCATCAGGTGACCCGTCTGCTCGTTGGCCCCCTATTCCATAAAAAAAGAACGTATCGAAATGTAACCTTATGCAGATAACTTTAACAGTTACCTGGTCGATAGCCTCCATGAACCTTGCATGCATATTCCTGTAATACTCCGCCTTGTCGATGTTCCCGAGGCGCGTGTGGAAGTCTCGCAAGAGCCGCGCGTTCCAGCACATGATGGCATTTAAGTCCACGGGGACTATTGAACGGGTCTTCAAGTTCGTTAGATTACCTGAAAGTTGAAAAGTATAAAATTTCTTCAAGTTCGTTAGATTACCTGAAAGTTGAAAAGTATAAAATTGTAAAGTATCTAGCGTGCAGCACGATATTGCATCATATCAGCAAAAGGGCGTCCCTTAATCATCTATATACACTACTCATGAATTCGTATATCTATATTTTATGTGTCCATCTAAAGGTTGCCTGTCAGAGATAACTTTTTAGCGATAAGGCCCCCATTTGTACATTTGATCATTACTTTGATGTACAACTATTGTATGTAGCTTTTAATTTCGCCGTAAAAGTAGCCTATGTCCTTTCTCAAGAATCAACTATCTTCATACCAAAGTTCATTTCAATCGGTTCAACGGTTTAAGCGTGAAGAGGTAACAGACAGACGGATAGACAGACAGACACACTTTTGCATTTATAATATTAGAATGGATGTACTAAACAGGTGTTACTATTCTTTTCTTTTACAGGTTATTCTATTCTATATGTACATATGAAATTACTTGACTAAACTGACAGTTTTATTCAGCTAATGCTTTTTATGTTGTAAGAACTCACTAAGACAGGGTTATTTTGGAAATTTCACCCCGAGGGAGGTAAAATAATTGACAAACAGTTGTATGGAATTCGTCATTTTCAAAGTTAAGAACACGAATTGCCGAAAGTGGTGCCGCGGCCAGTAGCTACCTATCTTCACATCAGAATATTCTTTGAATCATATTTATTATGGAAGAGGAAGCAGACGGGTCACCTGATGGAAAGCGTCGACGAAAACTTGTTCTACAAACTGGTTTTGCGAGGCAAAAAGTGCTTTGGAAAATAGTGGAGCGCCAATTATCGAAGTAATGGGGATGAAATTCTTGCCGTGTGGAACGATGGCGGAAAGTTGGGGCCGGTATTAGTCCGAACAATTCATCGGAGCATTCTCCATGATATATATGATAAAGAATGCAGAGTGAAGCCACATCTCTACGTATCGCCAAGGGATTGAGCTCATCGGCGATCTTTTAGCTGGCGATCCGATGCGGTCCAGAGGGAGAAGCTGGTACTGAAGTGCCTTTGCATAGAGATGAGAACAGTATTCCATATGCGGCCGGACTTGTGCCTTATAGAGCTGACGGTGGTGGGTCGGAGTGAAATACTGCCTCAATCTGTTCAACACACCGAGATTCTTCGAGGCCAATTTGACCTTACCCTCTAAGTTACCCCGAAACTGGACTTCGCTCAATAAATTGATGCCGCCTAGGATTCCGCTACTGCCTGAGGCAGTTAGGGAGGTTAATATGTAGAAGGAGAGGCCTATGTCCAGCAGTGGACTATTATAGGCTGTTGATGATATGTAGAAGTGCAGAAAGTTAGGATAAATAAATAAATTAATGTTTCATTTGATCTGGGACTGCGGTTCCAATAGTCGCGGGTTCGATCCCGCTCAAGTCAAACATTTGTGTGCATGAACATATAATGATTGATTTGGTCTGGGTGTTTCGATGTATAATATGTATGTATTTACGGAAAAAAAAGTTGTCATCAGTTGTCTAGTACCCATAGTACAAGTTCTGCTTAGTTTGGGACTAGATGGCGTTATGTGAATGTAGCAGAATATTTTTAATATTATTCGATAAAATACAAGACTTTTTCCTCGCAACATAAATTGGGTATCTCCTCGTGGCTTTCATTTACCTTTGTTGGTGCCGTTGAGACTGAACCACCTGGATGAGAAGTCCCATCCTGATTCTGCAGCTGCTTTCAACTCAGCATATAATTCTTCTCTTTTATCGGTGTCGAAATGTCTGCAATATAATATTGATTCATGAGCATCAAGAAGAACCATTTGGAGCTGAAAGCTGGTGTTTTTATAACAGCTATTAAACCTGAGGTGGCAAATAAAGACATTACCAGTTTCGTAATTTTACATGCTTACACTCTGAGTAGCAAGAATATAGCCGAAGTTTATTTTTAACTTCTGATGCAATAGAAGGAGTGTAATGTCTATGTCACGGTGCCTAAATGGATGGACCGATTCTGATGCAGTTACGAGTAAGGGTGCTTACCCCCCCCCCTCCCACCCTTACTCTGGGGGTGTAGTGTCTATAGTTAGGTAGGTCTATAGGCGTAGTTACTTACTACCAGGTGATCTGTCTTCTCGTTTGATCCCAAGTCCATACAAAAGAGAACTCGTTATATTCTTTTTCTCTCGATCTTTATATCTATTATGTGTACAAATGAATAAAATTTAAGTGTCTGTTTGTAATATCATAATAATTTTTTTTTTCATGCTTACACAGTTACCTGCACCAGCACGATACCTATGCCTAGAAACCAGTTTAAATATTTTTTTGTCTGTCTGTCTATCTGTCTGTTTGTCCCGGGTAATCTTTCAAACAGCAAGACCCATTTTGTTAATATTTTACTACCAGGTAGCTGTCTATATAATATTTCCTCTCAGAAAAACCGTATAAAATTTTGCTTGTACCGGGAATCGAACCCGAGGCCTCATGGACTGCAGTCGCGTACCGTACTACACCACTAAGGCAGCGAAGTCGCCGATACCAGCTACTTATAATACTCACTTAGCACAATCAATATCTTCTTTGTAACTCTCCGGTCTTGGACCCTGGGACATATCATAGTACCTCGACATCATATACTTATTGCCATTGTGATTGACTTCTACTGAGTGGTTCGTCATCCAGTAATCGAACTCCCGATCCATCGTGTGGATGTGCTGTCTTAGAAACGCCTCGTCATCCATGTCATCCAGTATCAACTGCACCATTGGGATTAGTAGAGGTGGCTGGGACCTGTAATAAAAATAAATCGACATTTCTTACTTGGGATGTGTCAGGTGTGTGGTCTGGTCACCCAGTCTGGTCATCCAGTCATGCTGCTCATGAGATTACAGAGCGGGAAACAAACCAGTAACCCTCAGTATGGCAGTCGAATGCAATACCGTAATTAATCGTATTATGTGAAAAATGTTCTCTTCTCTTCTGTTCTATGTTATTATGATGTTTTCTCTTAGTCTAAACTAAAATCTCCCAACTTAGTCCATCGTATATAACAGCATGCAACATCTTTCTTCTATCACCCGTCTTGAGGTTTGGAGTTAAAGAAGAATATACCTGATCTAAGTTATAATTCAACAGAAGCTTAATTTCTTGAGTACCGATAACTATACTTACCTCATAGAATAGTATATTCTGCCTCCATTGGGTATAAAACCGATTCGATCGACTATTTGAAGAAGGTTGGAGACCATGCCTTTGGCAGTAGATCTCATCTCAGAAAGCAGGAGGCCCTTGATGATCCAGTAGGAGTCCCAGTAGTAAAACTCACGAAACCGACCACCTAAAGAATATATAAAATAATTATTAAGCATACAACCATCATCATCATCAACAGCCTTTAATAGTCCACTGCTGGACATAGGCCTCTCCTTAGAAAAGAGGTTTTGGCCCACAATGCCACGCTGACCAGACGGATTGGTATTGAGTTTGATTCAAGAGTTCCTTCTCTTTGCAGTGCTGCGTAGTTTGCTCCCTTAGTCGGCTCTTACGACACCCACGGGATAAATAGGGGTGGTGACACACCGTATTCTTAAAATGACTTTGTTCACAAGGATTCTTTTGAAATAAGAACTTACCAGGTACAATAACTGGATGGTCCACATAGATTATGGAGTACAGATTCTGGTTTTCCTTAACTTCATCTTTCATTTTCCTACCGAGCTGGAGCCACAACCTGTTAAGGTCCGAAGCCCACTGGTGTAGAACTGGATCTTTGATCTTATGTAGAAACGCTGGAATCGGAAAAAAAACAACTTGGTTACAGAAGTGCATTATTTATTGTAACTCACACATGCGGGGATCGAACACACAGCACTCAGCGCGTTAGGAATGGTGTGGTTACCGCTTAACCCACTACTCCAACCGTGCAGTCTATCAGCTATAATTAATGAATTGAATGTATGACACATAAATCGTTTATAATTATTATAAACACAGTATAATGTTATCATCATCATCATCAACGGTCTTTAACAGTCCACTGCTGGACATATTCCTCTCCTTAGACACTCAGGTTTAAACCTAATATACCACGCTCGCCAGACGGGTTTGTATAGGGTTTGTGTCAAGTTTTCCTTCTCTCTTTTCTCTTCTACTACGCCGAGTGTTGTGGGTTCAAACCCTACATGGGACGACACTTTGTGTGATCCACAAATTGTTGTTCTGAGTCTGGGTGTTCTTTGTATCCGTTTCATATATGTTTGTAAAGTCCCCCGTGACACAGGATATATTCCTAATGCGGGAGTTGTCTTTTTAAAATGAAAAAATAATAATTGTAAGCTGTAGTTAAATAGTTAAGACAAATGCATAACTTTTTTAACGACAAATTATACCACAATATGAAAGAGTCAGATCACTATCTCATTCATTTAAAAGGTTGAGAAATATTTTTCTTATTTATAAATAGCAAAACTTTTCATAGTAAAACGTAACGTTTGTTTCCTCACAACTCTATCGTTTATGAACTTTTTTGAAAAATTCTTTGTTTATTTGAGATTAGCTTCATTCGGTTATCGGTCATCGCGGTAAATAGTAGCCTATGGCCTTCCACAAGAATCAAACTATCTCCATGGCAAAATTTAGTTTAAATCGTTTTTATGATTATTGATTCCCCGTACAAGCTTCCACTTTCTTATGACCCCTTAAAGAATGATATCTGGAATAAAAACTATCCTATGTCTTTTCCGGAACTGGGACTATCTCTATACCAAATTTCATCTAACTCGGATTAGCGGTTTAAGCGTGAAGAGGAAACAGACAGACAGACACACTTTCGCAACTATAATTACAGTATGGATAGGTCTATTTTTTTAAACATTTGTTACCTCAGAACTGTCATTTATGAACTTATTTGAAAAATTCTTTGTTTATTTGAGATATACCATCGCACTTTCACATCGGAAACTCAAGAGTCCCAAGTGCATTGCGATCATTAAGGTTCCTCTCATTAGAGACAGGGGAAGGAAAGGTTTGGCTCCGGGAACCTCACTCACTCGGTGGAAAGAAACGAAAGACTTGCTTAAGACCGGTTTTTTGTAAAGCACTCTTCGACGGCAAAATGTTCGTTTGACTTCTTAGATTACAATTTGAAGTTGACAATTACAATTTGATTTTGACTGGCCTGTTGGTCTAGTGGTTAGTGACCCTGACTGGTATGCCAGAGTTCGTGGGTTCGATTTCCACCCAGAACAAATAATTGTGTGATGAGCACGATCATTTGTTCTGTGTCTAGGTGTCATTTATCTATAATATGTATGTATTTAGAAATATATAAGTATGTTTGTCAGCAGTCTGGTTACCATAGTACAGGCTCTGCCTAGTTTGGAATCAGAAGGCCGTGTGTGAAAATATTATTATTATTATTAATTATATATATCAATAACCATAAAAAGACCCTTTTTTATAGATGCCATAAACAATAAATATAAACATAATAAGAGTGTTAAATGGAAACAATGATATAGTCTTCTTACCAGGATTGTCCTTCCAGTCTGGGGGTGTCCATTCTTCAAACTCAGATCCTTCAGGATCGAAGTTCTGAATGACAAACTCTTGGATGTCAGCCTTGGTCGGTTGAGAACCTGTCCTGAATAAACATGTGTATTATTGAATAAAATTATTAATTATGATACTAGTTTACTATTGTATTTGATTTAAACATCTTAGTATGACCTAACTTTCGGAGTTACCGTTTTGAAACAAGGAAGTTGGCAAATAATAGTGACTGATGGTACCATGACAAAGTTCCATATCCTATAAAACACATGATGCCTTCAAAAATATGTCTGTAAGCTCTAAGAAAAAGTACAGGAAGATAGTCGTTTCACAACTGACTTGACTGCACGAATGGCGTAGTGGTTTAAGCGGTCGCCGCTTCCTATTGCGCCGAGTGTTGTGGGTGTTGTTCAAATCCCACATGTGACAACACTTTGGGTGATCCACAAATTGTTGTTCTGAGTCTGGGTGTACTTTGTGTCCGTTTCATGTATGTTTGTAAAGTCGCCCCCGACACAGAATTTATTCCCAGTGCGGGAGTTCTCTTTTTTAAATAATAAAAAAAAACTTAAGCAACCACGGAAGAGAATCTTTTGACAAAATTAATAAAACAAATAACAACGAACCATATTACCGTTAATAATTCAAATTTCGTGTTACAATACTTGGATATTAATATATCCAAGTATTGAAACACGAAATTTGTAAAATGGGTAAATTTGTAAAACGATTTTATAAAATGGGACGTGAAATGTAGAATGCCTCCTACTTCTTGTCACACAATGTCACACGTCATAGCATTGTTTTGAAGTCGGTTCAACTTTTTTAAAGTGCTAAGCGTAAGCTAAAATTACCTTTCCATCATCTGCTTGAAGTTCTCCATAGTAACGTTGGGCGGCAGCTTCAGCTTCATGTCCACGAAGGTCTTCGAGTCGTTGTACAACCCTGCCATCTGCACCGTGTCCAGCAGCGGTCCATGGCAGTAGATCAAACTGAAATGAAAAATGACAAATATGACGGTATAGGTTTACACCTGGTTCCCTGGCTACTGATACCAGAGACAGCGTGCGGGTTTTAGTTGGTTCGAGTCTGACACAACCATCTCAACGGTTAATGGGGGTGTACAAGGGTATTTCCACACGAAAAAAAGGTACCATAGATGTAATTTTGCCGTAAGGAAGGTGTAGTTTGGTGCTTAAATACACCTTTTCTAGTCTTGTTTTAGTCTTCTAGAGTGACGCTTCTGTTTGCAGACTATCAATAAGGGCAAAAGTCTGTTGGTATCTAATATTTCATTTCTATACATTTATATGCTGATGCGGCCCTGAAAATGATATCGTATACAATGACATATATCATTGATGGTATGACACTTTATAATACGAGTAGGTAATACTACGGAGAATTTCGTCTACGTCTATCAAAAGGAATCAATTTTCCCTGCTTTTGCAACATTTTTCATTAATGCTCGGCTCCTATTGGTCGTAGCGTAATGTTATATAGTCTATAGCCATCCTCGATAAATAGGCTATCCGACATAATGTTTCAACCAAACCGACAAACAAACTACGCAGATTTTTAATTTTAGTAAAGACATGTCCAACAAATTGTATGCTGTATTGCCGAAATCTTACAAAATAACAATAACAATAGAAAATAACAATAATAACCTTACACATCTCACACACGGCCGTCTGAACCCAAATTAGGCAGAGCCTGTGCTATGATAACCAGACTACTGATAAACATTATTATTTTTAAATACACACATATTATAGATAAATTACACCCAGACACAGAACAAATGAACGTGTTCATCACACAATATTTGTCCTGGGTGGGAATTGAACCCACGACCTACCTAGACCAACAGGCCCGTCAATCCAAATCCGAGTTACAGAGGTCAAAGCTGGATGATGCTGAGGAGCAGCATCATCCAGCTTGAGTTACAGGCATTCGATCTCACTTACGTGAATAATAGCTACACTCCCTAATTGCTATGGAGAGTCATATTTCGAAATGTTATGATGCTAAAAACCAGTTCAAGAGATTAGCGCATTAAAACAAACAAACTGTTCAGCTGCATAATACAAGAATAGATTAAATTAAGTTTTGTTATCTCAACAGTCGGTCCTAGCTGAAGTTTCAAACATTTTTTCGGCATTAAAACAAATGGGAACACTCAACAAGGCTATAGGTAAACAACTGATACATATAAATATAAGTAGATTATATGTAGGTATGTAATTTGTTAAACAAACTAAAGCAGAAGTTTGTAAATACAGATTATTAAAAGAAAGAAGATAAGTATGACATTGGCATTGTACGACAATTGGAGTGGTAGTCAACTATTTTGTTCGCATTCACATCAACAGCCTTTAACAGTCCACTGCTGGACATAAGCCTCTCCTTAGAAATGAGGTTTTGGCCTACTATACCACGCTGGCCAGACGTGCTGGTATAGGGTTTGTGTCAAGTTTTCCTTCTCTCTACAGTGCTGGTGTTCTGCGCAGTTTTTTCCCTTAGTCGGCTCTTACGACAACCACAGGATGAATAGGGGTGGTGACACTCTGTATTCTTAATCATATTAAATTATAAGTTTGGTTGTTTTTATTAATCCATCCTTCCATATTTAAATTATAAATACGAAAGTGAGTTTGCTTGTTTGTTTGTTACGCTTTCACGCCTAAACCAATAAACCGATTTAAAAAAATCTTTCACAAATTGAAAGCTACATTAGTAGCGAGTAACATAGGCTACTTTTTACCTCGATAACCGACTTAGACGCGAGCGGAACCGCGGGCAAAAGAAAGTATATAATATAGCTCGGTGTGCTGAACAGATTGAGGCAGTATTTCACTCCGAACAACCGCCGTGAGCTCTATAAGGCGCAAGTCCGGCCGCATATGGAATACTGTTCTCATCTCTATGCAGGGGCAACTCAGTACCAGCTTCTCCCTCTGGACCGCATCCAACGAAGAGCAAGTCGAATCGTCGAAAGAACAAACATCTCCGATCGGCTCGATCCTTTGACGTTACGTAGAGATGTGGCTTTACTCTGCATTCTCTATCGCATATATCATGGAAAGTGCCCCGAGGAATTGTTTTGACTAAGCCGCTACTTTCCGCCATCGTTCAAAATTTTCATCCTCATCATCTGGATAGTTGGCGCTCCACTACTGTGCGCTGGCACACTTGTCACAAAAGCGTTGCCGGCCTTTTAGGAAGGAGTACGTTCCCTTCTTGAAGGTCGTATCGGTCAGGAAATACCGCAGATGAACACCCGTTCTACAGATTGGTTGTGCAAGGCAAAAAGTGATGTATAATCGTATGTGTATAACACTTTGATGTTTACATTTGCACCTACATTACTACACTTTCTTCAAAAACATTTTTCGGTATTAAAAAGCCCATTTATCAAGAAAGGTTATTGTCTATATAACACAACGCTACGACCAATGTCAGTGAAAAATGTTACAAAAATGGGAAAAAATACTTTTGAGAGACGCAACTAGTGATTTATAATATACTAGCTGAAACCCGCGGTGTTACCCGCGTTTGTTGTTATAACCGCGGGCAACGCCGCGGGGCGAAGCTAGTCTAAAAAAAGTAGCCTAAGTTACTCCTTATGTCATCAGCTATCTGTCAGTGAAAGTCCCGTCGAAATCGGTCCAGCCGTTCCAGAGATTACCCGGAACAAACAGACAGACAGACAGACAAAAATTGAAAAAAAAAATATTTTGGCATATGTACCGTGTAAACATACATATGCATTTAGTAAAAAGCGGTTATTTTAATATTACAAACAGACACTCTAATTTTATTTATTTGTTTTATTCTATTCTAATATTCTATTCTCTATTCTAACATTCGCACAACGCCATCTAGTCCCAAACTAAGCAGAGCTTGTACTATGGGTACTAGACAACTGATATAAATACATATATACCTTTTTTTTGTAAATACATACTTATTATACATAGAAACACCCAGACCAAATCAAACATTAAATGTTCATGCACACAAATGTTTGACTTGAGCGGGAATCGAACCCGCGACCTTTGGAATAGCAGTCCGTTACACAAACCACTACGCCATGCAGTCGTCATTTATATTTTTAAGTTTATTATTATGTATCTTGTATAATCTAATTACTACTTTTTAACATTCAATATTCATTGATTCAGAACATAAATGTCACCTTTAAATCACAACACGCGATAAGATAAAAACTGAAATGCTTATAAAAACCCAGAAAACAAGTTAATGAATCAGATTCTAAGCATAATTTAAGTTTTTACGTTAAATATTAACAATGTTTGTATATGTTATTTGTATCATGTGAACAAAACGTGGGATAATAAAAAACTGTTTATGTTTAGAGGTTTTTTTTAGCTTTAATCTAGAGTAATATTATCGTGAAGAATGTCGCACTTTTAATATAAAACAATCAAAAGTAAATACGCTGTTGATGTTGATGATATATCAACATCAACTACACATAACTACACCAAGTGGACATAGGCCTCTACTTAGAAAGGAGGTATTGCCCTACTGTACCACGCTGGCCAGACGGGTTGATATAGGGTTTGGCTGGTGGCAGACTATTTAGAGGAGCGTACCGTCGTGTACGAGGACCGAGAAGGTAATCTGAGGTGTCGGCCCATGTCGTGCGGTGTTCCACAGGGGTCTGTTCTTGGACCCCTCTTGTGGAACATAGGGTACCTTCGCGCTTATTTCCCCCCCGGGCTGGGTGTAATCTGTTACGCAGACGATACCCTCGTGACAGCCCGGGGGGCAAACTTCCAAGAGGCGGCGCGCCTGGCCACAGGGGGAGTCTCCCTGGTGGTCGGGCGCATTGAGGCGCTGGGCTTACGGGTGGCCCTAGATAAGACGGAGGCCCTGTTATTCCATGGGCCCCGTCGTGGTCCACCCCCTGGCGCCTCCATCGTGGTCAACTCGGTCCTCGTACCGGTTCGGGCCCAGATGAAATATCTGGGCCTGATCCTCGACGGTAGGTGGCTCTTCGACGAGCACTTCCGACAGCTTGCTCCAAAGCTGGTCGGCGCTGCGTCCGCCCTAGGGCGACTTCTGCCCAATATGGGTGGACCCAGCGTCGCGACAAGACGGCTGTACACGGGGGTTGTCCGGTCAATGGCACTGTACGGTGCACCGGTGTGGGCGGCGGCTCTGACCGCCCAGAATAGGGTACGCCTCTGGCGCCCTCAGAGGGTAATGGCGGTCAGAGCCATACGCGGTTACCGCACCGTTTCGACGGAGGTGGCGTGCGCGTTGGCCGGAACTCCCCCGTGGGATTTGGAGGCGGAAGTGCTCGCCGAGGTTTATCGGCGAGTGGCTGACTGCCGGGCGGAGAGCGGATTTCGCCCTCCGCCCGAGGATGTGCGCGAGTGGCGCGAAGCCGCTCGCCGAGCCACGATGGCTCGTTGGTCGTTCCGGCTGGAGACTCCACGCGCTGGCTTCGCCGCCGTGGAGGCTTTCCAGCCGGTCATCGCCGAGTGGGCAGGGCGGCAGCACGGGACCCTTTCCTTCCGACTGACGCAGGTGCTTTCCGGGCACGGTTGCTTCGGGAAGTACCTGCACACGGTCGCTAGGAGGGAACTGAGTCCCGCCTGCCACCACTGCGACTGCAGTGAGGACTCGGCCCAGCACACGCTGGCGGTCTGCCCCGCATGGGCGGCGCAGCGCCGGGCCCTCACTGCAGTCATCGGAGTGGATCTCTCGCTACCGGCCGTAGTACGCTCCATGGCCGGTAGCGACAGTTGTTTTACCGCGGTCGCAACCTTTTGCGAGGTAGTAATCTCGCGGAAGGAGGCGGCGGAGAGGGCCCGGGAGGACGACCTCCACTCGGACCCGATCCGCCGCCGGCGAACCGGGCGGCGGAGGCCCGCCTATCACAGCCTCATGCCGCCCTGAGTGTGGCCGCGGGTGGACGGGGTGGGTTTCCCCTCCACCCGCATTAGTTGGCCAGCCGCGAGGGGGCGGCGTCCGCGTGTGCCGGACGTCGCCTAAAGAGAGGAACATCCACATTGAGACGGAGCCCGCACCAGGAGCGGGCTGGCGCTAGGAGGGGTCCGGATGTCTTAACAACAGCTGTTCCCGGATCCCTCCTGTTACAGGCGCAGAGTGGCACACCGTGTGGTTTTAGTCGGTCCGAGTCCGACACACCACCCCGCCGCAAACCCCGGAGGGGTGACGGTCCGAGGGGATTTCCACACGTTAAAAAAAAAAAAAAAAAAAAAGGGTTTGTATTAAATTTTCCTTCTCTTTGCAGTGCTGTTGTCCTGCGTAGTTTTCTCAAGTAGTCGGTTCACAGCCTGTCTTTTATTACGCGAGTTCGAACGGCGAACTCGCCTCGAAATCTGAAGAGTTTGTTTGTTAGGTTGAACCCGCTTATCTCAGGAATTACTGGTTAGTAAATTCTTTTAGTGTTGGATAGTCTATTTGTCGAAGAAGTCTATAGGCTGTATAACATCACGCTACGACTAATAGGACCCAAGCATCAGTGAAAAATGTTGCAAAGGGGGGGTTGTATTGTTTTTGTGAAACATACGAAATTCTGAGGGTCAGCTAGAGATACAATATCGATGATGGAAATTATTGCTACTATTAAATCATGATTATATGATGATATAATTAATTTTAGTCACAGTGATGTCACCAGTGTAAATCACTACTGTCATTTGGACATAGACAAAGATAAATGCCATCAAAATCAATCAAAATTATTTTCATCGGTTTTTTTCTTTTAGATTTAGACCTTTTGCGGGTCTAGCGCTATCGTAACAAGACGCAGTGTTTTCGTAAATTAGTCACAGGTTTAATGATTTAAAAATCATATGATTTAACACAGGTGACTGTCATTTTATTCCGTCCAAGATTTATAGTATAAATCTACTCACCTATCACAGGTTGGAGGTAACTGACTCCTGTCTGCCCCAACAGCGGCCACCAAAAGTACAATTAAATAAAACATTTTACACTTATATATCTCACTTATACTAATATCACTGAATTATAAAGATAAAGGAACAAAAAATTTTACTAAAATATTTAGTTTGTGTTTTTTAAATTGTTTTTTACACTTATTTTTATGTGTTTAAGTATGTGCTTAGGATTTTAATAGCCTTCCTCCTATAAGGTAGGATGTTCATCTTGCAATTGAAGGAGGCTGTCGGCGTAACTTCAGCTGAAGGAAGTCGACATCGTAGCCCCTGAAACAAGAAATAAAGACAATTTAAATGACTGTGGACATTTTTTTATAGTCCCTATGGGAGGAACAAACACGCAGAAACAGCACTGCAAAGAGAAGGAAAACTTGAAAGAAACCCTATACCAACCCGTCTGGCCAGCGTGATATAGTAGGCCAAAATCTCCTTTTTAAGGAGAGGCCTATGTCCATCAGTAGACTAGTTAAGGCTGTTGCTGTAAAATTCGTCACGTCAATGTCATTTGTTGATTATGTTTTCTATACAAGAACACATAAAAATACAACAAATTAAAATATTCTACAACTTAATTAGAAAACATTTTTAATTGCACACAAAAGTGATATATCGTATCGTAACTGCATCGAATGCGTTTGTATCGTAACACACCATTTTCGCATTCTTTTATTTCGATATATCGCCTTGTAACGTTTTCGAATGTTTTTTTATTTAAATCAATATGCATCATCATCTTACGATGTAATGTAAAGTCTAAAACTTTAAAAACATGTAATGTAATCGTAATTTTACAACAATTTGTTAATGCGATATTTTTTTGTGTAGTACAATACATTGAAGTGTATGACTTTAAATATCGATATATCGTCGAATCGATACCCGGATATCGATGCCGTATACCGTTACATCGATAGAGCACTATACGATACCCGATGTATCCTTGCTCCTGTCCTTGGTCTTTTAAATTCGATAACATGTCATAACATGATGTCTTCACGTGTCACAATCATTAAAATACAGATAAAATAATTATTTTTTAGGAACAACATTTTTTAAATTTAATTAAGTTATGAAACATTTTTAAACTTAAAAATTATTATATGACAATGCACTTGAACTTAACTGATAAACTAACCTACTAAACACGCACTAACCTCGTGAAATAACAAAATAATAAAACGTAAAATATTTTTTAAGAATATTTAAATCTTTGCTATCGTATCTCCGAAACGGATAAACGGATTTGAATGCACTTTATAACTTAGAACAAGAAACAGGCAACATGTTTGCTAAAAATCTGTCAAGTTATACTTAGTGGTTTTATGCTACAGAATTTGTTTGGTTATTTTAATACTAAAATTTACCTTGTGTGGCATTCTGGGAATATTTTCTTACATAAATGATCACCTTTACGTACAATAATACTTCAACATCATCACAGCATCACATGTTATACGCGATGTTGAGGCACTTAACACACGTACAATTTAACTCACACAGGCACACATGAAAATCATTATTGAGGTGTCATCTATCCACCACAGTGTACACTGAGGTGAACGAAGCACGGCGTACAATTCTCAGCAACATTAAAGGTTTTTTTTATGGTACACTGGTTGATAAGTACTAACATAGTTTTTTTTTTTTTTAAGACAACGCCCGCATTAGAAATATATCCTGTGTCGCGGGGGACTTTACAAACATACATGAAACGGACAAAAAGAACACTCAGACTCAGAACAACAATTTGTGGGTCACACAAAGTGTCGTCCCATGTGGGGTTTGAACTCACAACACTCGGCTTGGTAGGAAGCGGCGTGGCGACCGCTTAAACCACTACGCCATCCGTGCAGTCAGTTTTATAAGTAATTTTTTTAGACGCGTGGTTGGATACGTGGCACATTGACGTGTCATGTCAATTCTGTCAGATTGAAAGATTGACATATTGAAAATGTTGCTATAACAAACCTTGCTTTATTTTTAGTTTCTTTGCGTATGTTGTTATTTAACTTTTATTTTATTTTTGTATGCTGTGCTTTATGAAATAAATAATATTCTTTTCTATTCTACATTAATATACAATACACATTACAGAGATCATAATAGGCAGACTATACTTACCTGAAGTTCGAGGAAGTAAGTAACATAGAGTAGGCTATCATCATCATCATCAACAGCCTTTACTAGTCCACTGCTGGACATAGGCCTCTCCTCAGAAAGGAGGTTTTGGCCTACTATACCACGCTGGCCTGACGGATTGGTATAGAGTAGGCTAATACCTCCTAAAACCTAAAATTGTGTCAATTTAATCTGACACAATTTTAGTACGGAACGCAAAAAATTGGAATTTGATTTTTTTAATCCATAATTAGTAACTTTACTCAAAGTCCTGTTCATGTTTTTATAACCCCGGGATTTAAGAGGAGGTATTATCCTACACTATGTTACTTACTTCCACGAACTTTGGGTAAATTTAGCTACTCTACCTATTCTGAGAGATAATTTTTCAAGGGCAACTAGTAGTTCCTGAGATTACCCCGAACATACAAACTCACAAATGTTATGGTTTAAGACATTTATTTCCTCAAAAGAATATATAGATTTGTTTGTCAGAGAAAATTCAAGATAAATATAGTAAATTACAAGTGTCGGAGCGGAGTTTCAATTATATATTATTGTTTTTACATCTTAGTAACTAATGCATGTGTCTGATGGGGAGTTGGATTTTATGTCAAATCAACTATTAAAAAAAAACTCTATAAAATAATCTAAGATTAATTTAACATCACTCAATAGTTTTCAGTGTGTAAGTTACTTTATATACGAAATTAAATGAGTGTAAAATACGTTGATAAATATTCAAACTCAAAATCTTGTAAATAAATAAAAATAAACTTTACCGGACGCCAAAAATATCCCACTGCAATAACAACACAACAACAATTCTGACGCACGACAATCTTAAATATGTACGCGACGTCCACTCTGGCCGGCGGATGCCAATTGTCTGATCATAATCACAATCACGACCAGGAGTCGTATTGTCATCCACAATGACATGACATAGTCGTCAAGCGTGATACGGTAGATAGCAACGTGACATGTACCGACCATCTGAGATTCAATTGTAGGGAAGCGTCATTTTAAAATAATATATGACTCTAATAATTTGACCTGATGAAGCTATAAATAACAAATTGGTTGAACAATGGTATTGTAAGTAAAAGGTGCATACCTGTATAGATTCAAAGAAATTTGAAACGTAACATAGTTTCAATTAGGTTTTATTTCAGCAAACATATTTTTGTTATCAAATCCCAAGCCAATGTATGTGTACTAAATAACCATCATCGTCCTGACTCTAACTCCAATTTAATTTGGAGTCGGTGCAATATTTTGCGAAGGGTTTTGGGCTGACGATTATATAGCCTGCCTCCTGCCTGAAGCCAAACCTTCCAAATTTTTTAGACGAGGCAAAGATGTATAGAAATACAAACGCATAAGACGAGGGAGTGAAAAAACAGCAAGGGATATTCCAAGGTATTAAACCTAGTAAACACTCAAAAACTATCGTAACTGCTTCTTCGGAAGCAGGAGCTGTTGTTACAGATGTCTCGACGCTAAGTGTATTTTATCCCTGCATTAAGGATGGTTATAAAGCATCGCAAGCCACTTACACAATGTACACCTAAAATATCAGCAAATTCTATTTATAGAACACTGTGAAATTGAACATCGGTATTGTTGTGGTTACAAGCCTATTGTTAAGGTCGAAGCAATTGCATTGAAAACAGATCTTGAGCTTAAGTTTGATACAAAGTTACATTTTATTAATCATTGTGATAATGCAATAAAAGATATTCCGACTCAATAAATGAAAAACACGGTCCTAAGTTTACACCTTGCAGTATGATGTTTTTGTACAGTTCACTGCATTGTGCTGACTTTAATGGTGCCAAATGGTCAGATAAATTCATAACTATTAAACATTTTTTTGACGACCGGATGGCTTAGTGGTTTGTGTAACGGACTGCTATTCCAAAGGCCGCGGGTTCGATTCCCGCTCGAGTCAAACATTTGTATGCATGAACATGTAATGTTTGATTTGGTCTGGGGGTTTCTATGTATAATATGTATGTATTTACAAAAAAAGTATTTATATCAGTTGTCTAGTACCCACAGTACAGGCTCTGCTTAGTTTGGGACTAGATGGCGTTGTGTGATTGTGATAGAATATTATATTGTTATTATATTCTGATTTGTCTAAATTTTTTAGACAATGTGTACCTATCCCAAAGTTGAAAAAAGTTGTAAAAACATTGGTCAAGTATTAGTAGTCATACCAAGTTGTACTGGTCAAAGAAATTAAAAATAATACTTAAAGAGGTCGATCTTTGACTGCCATGCGATCTTTGTTATAAATAAACAAACCCATAGCGTATTTAGCATTGACAAAACTTTAATTTCTATAACATTATTATTTTGTATAGTATCTAATCACCAACACCACCACTGTAGGGTATGCTTTTCGATATACCTACACATATGGGCCAGCTCAACCGGGGTGTTATCACGGCCTCTCGGAAAACGTTTGTTAATTAATTCTTTCGTCACTTTTCACCGAGTGAGTGAGCAACGCACTTGTGCGGGTGGCGGTAATTGCTTACCAACAGGTGACCCTCATTGTTCCCTTGTACCATAAAAAAGGTGTGTATGGAAGGCGTCAATGCGTGCCAGTTACATGCTTAATAGTAGTTAAGATCGTAAGATGATTCCGGCAAAAGGTAACACAGCATATAACCGTGACTGGAAAATACCCAACAATAATTCAATCATGCTAACTCTAGGCAATTTACGGCGGATCTGCAGGTATTAGATTCAGAAACGTAGAGACGACAAATTCTTGAAAGATAACTTTAAATTTACAGAAAAACAGAATAGTTATGACGTAATCTGTTTTACACATAGATGTAGTCGCAAATTTGATGAGGTCAGTTCCCGCGAAAACAATACTTGTCCTTAAACTGAT